TATCCTGAAAGATGGCAAGTGTATACTTTTTAAACTCGCATTGAGTCTTATGCTCTTTTCTTGGTATAAAAATGACCTTAGAATGTTTGAAGTCCTTCTAGGTTACCTTAGAATTTTGTTTTCTAGAACTGGCCATCCACATATTATCTAGATGCTGCCTAAACAACCATTGCTTGATATTAAAATCTGAAGAAAAAAAAGAAGAGAAACCAGTTTTAGGAGCCTTTTATTTTTAGAAAATTGAGTGATTTTTATATTTTTAGGCTTATTGATAAACCTTGCTACCGCTACTATTGAGCCGTTCTAAACCATAGGATTCCCTTAGGAAACTTTTTTGTAGCAGCTTTAGAGCATTTTTTTAAGAACCCGATGTATCCATTGTTTAGTTTTCCATCTTTTTAGGATTTCTAGCTCACTTTGTTTTTAAAATATGAATGAGCATAAAGTCTTAAGTGTGGCGTTTAAAGTTCACTTTGTTTCTTCTTGATGATGATAAAAAGTTTTGTTTTCTTTTTGGTCTTTTGAACGAGGACGTTCAACTCTTAAGTGTGGGGGTATTTGATAACTCGGGTTTGGTTTAGTACTTTTTATTTAATTTTAGGCATTTTTAATATTTTTAGTGTTTAATTCTTAGTTATTTAGCTTAGGTTTATTCTAACTTTCATTTTTTACAATCTTTTAATTTTCTCTCATAAATAGCATGTTTTTAATCATTTTTTTTACATTATTTTATTTTTATTTTATTTTTCCTAACCCAAGTTATCAGATATCTTATTTGTGGAGGAAAGTATCTTATAGCAAAAGACCAAATCGGAGTTCAAGTTTGAAAGGAAGCACTTGAATTTGGGGCAAAGCCCAAACCCATCATCAAAACAAGTTAATTGGCACATCCATTGCTCTCCTGATTCGCACAAGAAAGACAGAAAAAAGAGAAGAAACGCAACTTCTTCTTCATTAAGGCAAGCGAAGTAAACACTCCAAGTTCGACCGGCGAAGCATTCAACGCATATCTTCTCCAACGTCTATCCATTCAATTCGCCCACACGCTCCAACGGGAAGAATTCAACGGCAAGTGGTTCTCCTTGGACTATAAATTGAAGACAAATTGCAACCAGAGGAGGGGGGAAATATCACGCAGAGAGCCGCGGCTCTAGGCCGTGGCAACTGAGATTGAAGCCGCGCACCAGAGGAGGAAGCAGACGGCGGCGGACCACTGCTCGCCGG